TGACGAGCAGGGGAAGAGAGGACGATGACAGAGTGAGGGAGGTAGGGGCGCTACTCGTCGGTGTTAGGCGAGGTGGAGGGAATGAGGGTCTGATCTTAGGGTGCTCGGGGTCGAGGCACAGCAAGGGGGGAGCTCAGGTGGTAGTGGCTCTGGTTGGAGCTTGGGTTAAGAGAGATCTTGGAGGGGCGAAGCCAGGGTTCGTCGGGGATGAGGTGCTGGAGGTTCAGCGTCGGAGTTGAGGAGTTGGTGATGATAATGGCGTCATCGGTGGTCAGAGCTTGGGGAGGGAGCTCAGGTGAGGTGGCTGGGCTAGTCTGCTGTGGGTGAGTTTGGAGATAGGAGGCGTAGTTGTGGGGTTGAGAGAGGGCAGGGGTTCAGGTGGAGATGATGATGCGACGTCAGAGCTCGGAGCTGAGCTTTAGGGCTTGGTAATGGCGATGGTGGTGAACAACGGGACGGGAGAGGGGTGGTGAACTTAGGGGTTGATGGCAGAGCTTGGAGGGCGGCGACGGAGCAGGGGGAACTCGGGAGGAGCTCAGGTGAGGTAGCTTGAGGGTGACTGGTTGAGCTCGAGATGAACGCGGTGATTGGGTAGTGATGGAGCGGGGCGACAACAAGGTGGTGGTGTGGTGATGATGGTGTCGAAGATGGAAGATGGGGTGGGGGTTGTCGGTGACCGGAGCAACGGGGGCTTGTGTCATGGCTTGAGTTTAGAGGGAGAGAGAGGGTGAACTGAGAGAGAGTGAGAGAGAGAGGGAGTTTTCTTGGGTTGAGAGAGAGACAAGATGAGGGAGGGGATGGCGCTGTGGGTTTTAAGGAAGTGAGAGAGATAGAAGTACGAGAGGAGAGGGGGATGTTAATGAGGGATGGGTGGGGTTAGAGAAGTGAAGGGTTGTGCGGGAATTTAGGAGTGATTTAGGGAGTGTAGGAGAGAGAAAATGAGATATGGTTCACAGGTGAGAGAGAGGAAAACTCAGGGAAAACATACCTATTTAAAATAATTTTTTAATACTTAAAATACTAAAGTTTTTTATTGAAACCCATATTAGAAATTTACGATCATTACAGTCAGCGATAGTCTTCCATCAGACGAGAAGAAAGAATTGATTGCCCTCATCAGGGAATACATAGACATTTTTGCCTGGAATTACGAACATATACCAGGACTTGATCCAAATATGGCAGTCCATCGCCTTAATATCAAACCGGATACAAAATCTGTCAAGCAATAGCAAAGACGGTTTCGTACGCAAATTATGGAAGTGATCGAGTCTGAAGTTAAAAAGCTAATTGAATCAGTTTTATTAGGGAAGAGCAACATCCCGATTGGCTAACAAATATCATACCGGTCCTTAAAAAGAATGGGAAAATCATAATCTGTATCGACTTCAAGGACCTAAACACTGCTTGTCCAAAGGACGATTTCCCTCTTCTCCGATCATGGATGTTATTATCGACAACACGTGTGGATTCTTAAGAATGTCATTTGTGGATGGGTTTTCGGATTACAATCAAATCAAGATGTAACCTGATGACGAAAATCATACTGGGTTCAGGACACCCCTCGGTGTCTTCTGCTACACAGTTATGTTGGCCTTCTTG